GTATAGACCTGCTTGGGGGATATATTCTCCACGAAAAAATTTGGCCTAGAAATCTGCCAACGCATTTCTGAAAATAAAACTGAGTTCTGCGCAGATTTCACCAAACATTATGCTTTAACCTGATCTTACATAAATAATGTATTATTATGCAGTAATTACACTTCTGCGCACATATTAACCTAGTGAATTTATGCTCAAATTTGAGCTGGTTTTTGAGGTATCGTCCGCACAATTAAGAAAACTTTACAATATGGTAGGACTAGGCCTACTACTACTAAATTTTGTAAACATCAATTATGTATTTCACTTTAAACTGCAATTTTGATGTTAAAAAGAATACTACTACAATACCGAAATACACACACACAAAAAAAAAAAAACATCCAATCACCTTTTTTAATTAATTAAGACTGTTGTAACAGTATCCACTGTCTATTTTTTTTATACACATCACCTACAATTTATTAGTCAGTGCTATAGAAATAAAGCAAAAAAATAATAATATTGGACAACGATTTGGTCTCCTAATCTACGATCTAAGCCAAATATCAAGATATACTACTATACTTTTCTTTAGGCCTACGGTATGGGTAGACATCTGATTATCATACGAGGTCAAACTCCTTCCTCCGGTGCATTCTGCCACAGACCCTACTTAGCACTAACTGCATGGAGCGGCGTCATTTCCCTGCTGAAGAAGGGCCTACAACTGAATCTTACCTGGGGCTTGGTGGTAAATTGATGCAAATGCCATCAAGTACACTGCTGACATGCACCAAAGAAAAGCATTTTTTGTAAAAGCTATGGAAATCATTTTGCAATATTTCTAGAATAAATGAAAATGTTTTTGCAGCTTGCACATAAAACAACAACGTGTTGTTAATACCGGTACTCTCGAATCCTAAACAATGTAGGGAGCCACCATTCGAGCACAACAAACTCTTCCTCACGCATAGCGCCGTCAGCGTCCGAGTGTGTGACTCACGCGCTCACGCGTAAGGATTTCTGGTATGCGCGCTTCCGATATGCAAAATAGCTACGAAAAGTAAACAGATCTCGTTAATCCGATAATGTATTAACATTCATTTTTTTAATTGCTTTTTCTTGAATGTCATTGTAGTCAAATGGTAAAAAAATTATTTTATTCATACTAAAACTATTTCTATCACAATTATTATTGTGTATAAAAAATAAACGAAAGAGGTAAAACGTAAGCGAGCATGAAGTTCGCGCGTAAAGATGTTCGGTTTGCGCGCTCCCTGTAAGCGCGCTTCCGGTGTAAGCGCATCTGGTTTTCCGATATGCAAAGTAGCTACGAAAAGTAAACAGATTTCGTTAATCCGATAATGTATTAACATTACATTTTTAATTGCTTTTCTTGAATGTCATTGTCGCCTTTTATGGTAAAAAAAAAATACTGTAAATCAAATTATTTTATTCATACTAATAAAACTATTTCTATCACAATTATGATTGTGTATAAACAAAATAAACAAAAGAGGTGAAACGTAAGCATGAAGCTCACGCATAAGGATGTTTGGTTTGCGCGCGCGAGCTTGCGATGGCAAATTGTAGCTACTTACGGAAAGTAAACATATTGTAGAATCTGTGTCCACTCATTAATCCGATAATGGAATAAAATTAGCTTTAATTGCCTTTCTTAAATGTCATTGAGGCCTTTTATGCTGAAAAATAAATCATATATTTTATTTCACTATAATATTAAACCTATTTCTATCAAAATAATGATTGTGTATGAAAAATATCGTTGATAATTTTGAGTTACGTCAAAATTAGCAAATTAATTTCAATTTTTTTAGCATTTTTTCATGATACATTTTTAAAGATTGGGCAAGGATAGCTCATAATAGAATCCAATGGATGACACTTGAGGAGGGCTATATCAGACAATGGATGTCGAAGCCCAGTAAGTAAGTAATGAATGTCTTCCAATTGTATACAGGTCCTTTATGAATAAAAATACAATTTTTTAAGATAATGATTTATATATACAAACTAGACATGCGAAAAACAATCTAATAAAAATGATAGAACTAGTAGCTCTACTTTTTATTCTATTTTAAATCTATTCAAATAACTTTACTTTGAAATAAGCATTTAATAAGAAAAAAAAAAATATATATATATATATATATATATATGCCTATATGTGTGTGTGGGGGTGGGGGTGTGTGTGTGTGTGTATAACATTAATAATTAGTATTATGTAACCGGTAAGGCCTATGTTCACTGCTGGACGAAAGCCGGTAGCTCGATCTTTTAATTGCTTTGTTTGCCCATTTTTTATCTAACTTGAATCAATAATTATATTTTACTATAATATATATAAATTTCTGATATCTCAGGAGCAACCACTTGTGATATCAGATCGATAGGTCACTACGACGAGTCACTCTAGTCAACGCCCTCTTCGAGCTGGCATTCGTTGAACTTTAAATACCGATGCAGCAAACAACGGGCCAGACTTCGGAGGTAACAAGAGATTTTAGAAGTTGTCGAGTCGTTGTGGCTGTAAGCTGTTAAGATGATGCAGTCCATGATGTCTGTTCTAGTTATGCTCCTACTGTGGACCTGTCTAATCAGTATATGCTCGGCTCAGAGTAAGATCATAATTAATATTTAATTTATCAATAATTTTATGCATTCGTAATTTACATTTATTGTCTGTTTTTCCATGTTTATGAAATGTTAATGTTTATATTATGCTTTTACAGATATATAGCTATTACATGGTTTATCAAGAAAGTAATTTTATAAGTTTTTGAATGTAACATTACTTTCCAATCTCGAACGGAATTTTTTGTTTATCTGGGTTCGGCGGCAAACATTTATCGACAACTTAAAAATAATAAATATGATTGGCATATGCGTCAACTGTAACTATTTGAAATTAATCAGAATAAGATGAAAAGCGCTCTAAAACTTTAAAATTTTCGTCATCATCTTTACCATGTCAACATATATACAGTACATATGAAGTTTTGGAAATCATTTTGTGGGAGTTTTAAAGTTGTATGTATTGGAACACGCAACACAACACAAGGTAAGCCCCTAATGCGGGGTTCAGACGCAGTTAGCGTTAATGATTATAGACATTTGTGATGTTTTGCTGTCGTTTTATGCTGAAACTTTATTGTGTTTACATTCAAGTATTTCCGTTCACTTGGGAGCACTTGCTAAGGGATGATGGCTTACTGTAGACGATAACACTGTTAGACTTAGAGCCAATAAGGTTCAAGATCGTAAATAAGACCACTAAATAGTTCGAATAAAAGCTCATGCACTAGCGTATGCAAATGGCTATTAGCCAAAGACTGAAAGTGAATTTTACCATGCATGACTTTCAAAATGTGATAAATTTTCTTTTGTACTTTTTATTTTCGCTTTTTTTTATGTGGGGGTGGGGTTGGTGGGGCGAGAACATCTACATTGATAAATTACATGACGGGACAATGTTATGATATAAAATCAAGTCCCTTCATAAGGCTTTGGAAATAACCATGAAATGGAGATAAGTGGTTTAGTAGTTACGATGCTTGTCTTCTAACCCCAAGGGACTGAGTTCAAATCGTATTAGGACAGGAATTTCTCTCATGAACAAAAACAACTTCAGTGCCCAGGCGTCATAATTAGACTTTTGTCTTGTGCTACTGTGTTGAAGTTCTGTCCAGAATATCAAAAACATGTGACATGCCTAAATATGGTCATGATGATATTACATCATGAACCATATATAGGCACATCATGACTATATATGGGCATACAACAGGTTTTTGTAAAAGAAAATTGGACAATCTGGACGGAGATTTATACGGTTCTTGTTTTCAGTGTCCCCAATGGAAATCATTATTTGACACTGATTTTCACCATAGTTAAATATTTTTTTTTTAAATAAAACAAAGCTAACTCGAGAATTGCCTGCCCTAAACCAAAATCCTGTCATGTACAAGACCGTCACTCAGAACAAGCATCTTAACTATAAGTCACTTTTATCAACATTGTCAACATGAGTCGTTTGCCCCAAGTTCGGTTGTTATTTTTAATAAATCATGCAGCCGATAGGAACCTTTGAAAATGTTTTATATAAATTGATTTTCCTTTGATGGTGACTTAACTTTTTAACTCGGGTGATTTCATATTTAAATCTATCTTTACACATTGTTATAAATGAAGGTTTTAACTATGCTTTTTTTTTTAAACTTTGACTTTTTAACTTTGTAAGTTTGAACTTGATCCTAATTTGCAATTTTGTGTTTTGTTTGTGTGTGTGTGGGTGTGTGTGTGGGGGGGGGGGGGGGGGGGGGTGTTTGTGTGTGTGTGTGCGTGTGTGTTACGACCCTTGTATTTTCTGTGCGTTGACTTTTTATTATAAAAATATTTACAATTTAAATAGTGTATCAAACAACAAATTTCCAATTGTATGTTTTATATTTGGAAAAATAAATGTTTTTGAATTTAAATTTCAATAACATACATAAGAAAGAGTCATCCTCCGTTGACGGATATAGTTTCACGTGTTTAAGGCCACAATGGTTAGGAATTAATTACGCTTATAACAAACTTTTCAATTTTGATATTTCTGTAAGAGATTTGAAGATAATATTTTAATTGAAATATTACCATTTTCAAGGACATCTAACATAGCTGAGTAAATATGTCATTGAGCGGAACATAGTAAAACTAACGAATGTTCAATGTCAATTAATGAAACATCCGTCGACATTATGTCTCAAACTGACCTTAGCACATCAAAATGATTCTTACCCTTTCGGTAGAGGCCTAAAGTTTGACTTGTGGTGTTTAAGATCTGTCGAAAATTACTTTATATTATTAGCGATTATAATGCTGAACTGCAATCCAATATAAAATCAGCTCACCATTATTATTTATTTCAACTCATCTATCAGCATTAATCAGCATAATTTTGCACTCACTGCCTATAAATTATCAAGTGTATATTTATACTGGTACTTTACATGTGAATTGAATATATATGTCTTTTAATTGAACTTTTATTTTCGTTTTTGTTCTGTGTCTTTTACTCTATGTATTGTTTCAACCAGAAAATGACAATAAAAAATAAGCCTATTGAATTTTCAATATGGTTTAAATGCCACGAAAATTAAAGTTTAGATCGGAGTCTAATATTTACCAGTGTTATGGTCTAATCTATTAATTATTATATTATGTAAACCTTAATGTCATATCCTGATACGAGCGATCTTTTTTGCCGTTTGCTTTTGGTGAAATAAAATAAAAATAAAATTTTTAAAACATTGTCTATCAATTAAAAAAAAAAAACAAAAAAACTCCACTGGTAATTCTCGTGATGAGAAAAAATGATTACACACGTTATTTTTTATTGATGTTTGAAAAAATTGTAAAGACCTAAAGAAATACCGGTACCCTTAAATTACAGCTAGTGGCGGATCTAAAAGCTCAAAATAGAGGGATCCCAGGAGGAACTTTCAGCGATACAGGGTCCACCCACGCCAGAAAAAGGCACTCTTAGATTTAAATTTGAATATAGGCCTATTTTCAGATTTTCCTTCATTTCCTTTTACATTTAAAAAAAATGGGGCTGGTCGAGCCGGCTGCCCCCCCCCCACCCACCACCCCCTCTAACATTGAATCCGCCACTGATAACAAATATGTTATCACTGATAATGCAATATTTTATTAAATTAAAAAAATTAATTATTTTTCGAATTCCATTTTTGAATCTTAAAGAAATTATATTCGTGGGCAAATTGATGCATTTCGTGATTTGTAATTGACGGCTTTCAAATGGATCCGGCGGCCGGTCCGAAGTCATCAATTGCGAAACTCCCTTATGGTGCTTAAGAACTTTAAAAAACATCCTATCGAATGTCTTTAATACTGACTCAATGTTAATTGTATGTATCCATGTGTGAAGAAACACGGGTTATGTTCATTAAACGATAAAAAAAAAAATTAGCAAGCTTCATAATTAGAGTTTAATCACTAAGCACATTTTCTTGAAGCCTTGCTTAGTAGAAAAATATAAGGACAACTGATTTCCATGTGTGATCAAACACGAGTTATTATTTATTAAACGATTAAAAACAAATGAAGTTTAATTACAGTTTTTAATGAACATTAGGTTGCGCATTTCCAAAAGCTAGGCTACGGAGGAAAATAAATGATTTTGACCAAAAACTCTGGAACGGTGTGAGATATAGATTTTTGAATATTTAAAATCTGGGTGAAAAAGGGGCGTAATCACCAATTTTCCACCGTTTTCTCCCAGTTTTTAAATTTTCAAAAATATGTATCTCATTAACTGTTCCGAAATTTTTGTCAAACACTTTTAGTTTCTTAGAAAAATCAGTACGACATATCAAAAAAATGTTTTTCTCCGTGTTCCCGTAACACCGGAGTTATGATTGGACTCAGTTGAGTCTTCTAAGCATTTATACGTACATTTTAACATCACACCCACCTTTAACTCATGTCTAACCATAGATCAGTTTAGTATAATAGATGGATCTTTAAAAATTGGTATTGTTGGAGGTGATATGCTGAAGATGAGATATTACAAGCCGATCTAAAAAAAAGTCGGATTGTCTGAGTAGAAGATGGTATAATAAATTGTTGGTCCAAGCCTAAGATTATACAATATGCGAGCTATTTTAAAGCAGTCTTTAAAATATGCCTACACTTTTGATAATTCCAATTAGCTTTTTCAAAGACTTTTAACTGTAACTCTATTGATAAAGCAAACGCTTCTTTAAACAGTAGGATAGACCAGTTTTGGGAAATGTCAATAATTTTAGTGACAACAACAAAATATACTCCTTAGGGGTTTTAGTAGATAAAATGTAAGAAACATTTTTATATTGCCATAAAAATGTGACCTCTTTGTGCATTGATAATTGTCCTTGAATAATCAATGGCGTGTGTTGTTATAATTAATGTTTATTGGTCTTTTTTAGTCGAATTAATGAATGAATAATTGATAAATGAATGAGGCATTGCTTACTGCACCTGTCACTCACATGTACATAATATAGGCTTAAACAACTGACAGTTAAACTCCTCCCCGAGTATAATTTCAAATCCATGGGGTTACTTTGATGGATAAGTGTCAGACAACTCTAACTTATTGAAACGGAAATTACATTTCAGAGGGAATTGCTTTTACTTTATTTGCTTCAGCGAAGTCATTTGATAGAGACATTACAAAACAAAATATTTTGAGATTTAAATTTAAAAAAAAAAAATGTTTTTGAGAGTTAGATTATTGTATCATTGATGTACCGGTGTGATAGAAAGTTTCACCACCCCCAACCCCTTCAGTGTATTTGGCCTTTCTAGGTCTACCTAACCCTCATAGCAAATTAGGCTATTGATATATTTCTTCAGTACACACTTTTTTCCATAGCATCTACTTTCGAAACTGCACGGCAAAGTTGTTTTGCCTTATGTTTTTTTTATGTTTACTGTCTGTACTTGCCAGAAGTCCATTATCTTGTTTGCTACCTGTAACAGTGCACGTGATGTGTATGCTGTTCGAGTTAAGTCTGTTGAGACGGTCATGATATTTACCACCTGTGCTTCCTTCGTTAGATGTTCGCAAAAAAATAAAATGTGGATGCCTTTGGTATTTATTTAAGTCAGAAACATCCATCCAGCTTTCATAAGATTGTAATGTCTGGTTTCCATAAAATCGCTACATGCTATCGCTGATAGCTTTTGTCGACGCTAATTCGCGGGTTGATATGCGTCGAAGAAAGTTAAGCAGTGTAACAATTGCACTGTAGCGTCATTCTAGCAATGTTACATGATCCGCGCCACCTTGCGCATGATACAATGGGTGTGCATTGTGGTCTCTTTTCATGTATCATAAGATATTAAATGATCTCTATTATATAATAGCTGGACTGTCCATTGGCTGGTTTTATTGAGGCTACTGACGCCATGTTGGGGAGCCCATAAAGTTATAAATACGTCATTACAGCTGAAAAATTTTGAATCGGTGTGACGATGACCAACAATGCGAGATCGCTCGCGCTTTGTAAACTGCTTGTAAACTGCACAATCAGGCACGTTGATTGGTTAATTGATTTGAAAAATTCTTTCGTAAAATTTAAGTTCATTATGAAAAAGTAGCCTATTGCAATAATCCTTTTTTTAAGCAATAATTTAAACAAATGACCCCAAAAACTTGTCTTGACTGGTACTCACTTGAGCTCTTGCAAATGGTGTCGGTGGCTTCATTTTTTTCTGTACAATTATTGACCGATGAGCAATCAGTGGTTGCAAATTGCAATGTATGCATGTACTGTATCTCGACGTTCCGATTGAGATGCTTCAATCGTCTTCAGGAGAATATAATATCTGTATAATGTAGACCCACATTTTGTAAGATGCCTTATTTCTGAGATAACTTTGATACACTCTATCAACATAAATTGTGTCATAATTACTGAAATGTTTTATATTACATTTCTGTATATTATAATTATTATTTTATCAATTATTCCCACACTTTTAATACTCTGCTAATCTTGCTGTTCATGTTTTTGTCGCTTCTTGTTTTGATTCTTGTAAAAATTAACATCTATTAAAGTGACTTCACAGTATCACTGATTCTTGTATTTAGATTGATATACACTCTTGCCTTTAAAAACGACACGTTTTCAATGTGGGGGTGCATTGCGTGTATTTGCAATTTATGTTTGGAGTGCCACTAATTTTCTAAGATAATCCTAAAGCTCCGTTAGTGTGTATTCATAGAATATTATACTCCACAAATCTGCCCACAACTCGGTCAGCTGTCCACGCGTCTAGACGATTTGGTACCGTAAGCGAAACAAATTACGTTCAGGCCCCAGAGGGGGTAAAGTATAGAAATATAGGGAACGGCTAGAATACAAATTCTCCCAGTTAGTTTCCCCCTTTTTATTTTTAAAATTTCGTAATTTATTAGGTAGCCGTTACCGATTATTTCTTCATACACCCCGTTGTTGTCTTAGAATATCTATTTCTACAACAATACATTTTTGTCCTCGCCAGAGCTTGGCTTTATTTTTAGAATTGTTTGCTTTTTCGAGTTCTAATACTAAAATCAGTATTACTCTAAGTGCAGCGTCGTACAATATTTTCTTGTTTATTCTTGATGTATAGGTTTGCTAATATAGGCTTCTAGGTAAACTCCTGTGAGAATTGTAACAGGTACTTATAACAAAGATAGGAAATCATTGAATTATGCAGCTAATTCAATAATAAATTCATATTTTGTTGACTTTTAAGGATATTGGCGTTACGTAGGTCTATTCTAGAAACACAGTTCTAACTATAATGACTACGGCAACATGACTACGTTAATGATGAAAACTACGACGGTGAGAAACGATACTGGTGACGATGATGGCGATGTTGGTTAATTTACTGACGAAGATGAGGATCATCATATAATACTAGGCCTATAATGATAATGATAACGAGAACGATGACGATGATTGTGATAATGACGAGAAGAGAGAATTCGACAAGACAACGTTGATGATGATAGTGATCATGGTGATGTAGATCAATTGTAGGTGATGATGATGATGATGATGATGATGACGATGATGGTGGTGGTGGTGGTGGTGGTGGTGGTGATGATATTGATGATGATGATAATGATGATGACGATGATGTTGGTGATGATGAAGATGATGATTCAATTATGATGATGATAATGATGACGATGATTGATGAATAATATTTACAATTGATTAGGGTAAATGTATAATAAACAAAAGCAGTACCACCGAGAGGGGTGGGGGAAAGATCCCCGGGGCCATAGAAATTGTAGGTAGAATTTTTTTTCAATATTTTTTTTTAAATAATAATGGGTAAGTATATTAAACTTTCACAAGAAAATTGTAATATGCACATTACTATCATGGGTTCTCAATAATGGGATGGGTCCCCTAATAATAGACCCTTCATCACCCCCCACCCAAAAAAAAAAAGTACGCCTTCGGCGCAGTCTTTCTCACGCTTCGCGCCCGTAACCCCCACAGCGACCCTTGTCCCTGTTACAGTCCTCTTTCTTGTAGACCCTACATAAAAGTATCGTAAAGTTACAATGCTTTTTAACTTTCTACGTATATAGATCGCACCCACTTTCCCTCTCCTCAGACTAAAATAGTAATTAAATTAGGTTAATAATTACTGGCTAATAAATTCTAATGAACTAATAATGACTGGGTGATAATCCCTCACAAAAATTTAAAAAATGCTGCATATAATATAACCTAGATTTGCCTATGCTAAATAATGGACTCTAGGGAATCCGTCAAAATTAAATTATAATTTTGAAATTATCAACATTTTCTGTTTTACCGGGTCACGTGACCGTCATAACAGGATTCAACGAATTCCAGCGGAGGTTCCTGATAAACTCGAGCGTCTTCTGTGAAGTGTAGACATTTTGTAACTATTAGCACTGCCTGTGTATGTGTGTATATGTATATGTATATATATATATATATATATATATATATATATATATATATACGTATGTATATACATATATATATATGTCTAAATGTATATGTATATATATATATGTATTAATCTACACATAAAATGCAAAAGCAATAAAAAAAAAACGGTGTACAATCATTGAAAGTTGACTTGCGGAACACAAATTTATTAAGCTATAACAAAATCAAACGGATATTTCGATAGCTCCTGCTATCTCCATCAACGTTAAAGCATGGACCTATTAATAAGTCCATGGTTAAAGTGAGAAAACTTTGGAGATCTTACTTATACATAAAGAATAATAAACGGTATAAACCAATCAGAATTAAGTTATCAATACAATTAGTTGATTGGACCACAAAATATAAGTTCAGTGACAAGTTAATGGGCGAATTAATTACAACTAAACCATGATAAGATGTCGGCAAAATGATTGTAAGCGGTAGTTTATTGGCGGTGCCATTGAACCAGCTTAATGCTAAGACTCATTTAACTACATATACATATACACACATATGCACACATATAAACATACTCATATACATATTCCGGTATATATTCTAGTATATTTTATTGAATCATCATTGCATAATAAAATTAATTGAGATGATTAATTACAAAAAAATAAAAAAATTATACAAATATATGGCACTAACTTAAACTTATATTATCATTACTATATATAGGTATAATTTAAGTTGGCTAAAAAACGTGTTTACGGTAAACACAATATAAGGAAATAAAAATATAGCATGTCTAAATGAAAATCACGTGGTTGTCTATTTTGTCTAAAAAGGATGTTTAATAGGCATGTGCTTATGGTATTTACTTCCTACTCTTCTTCTTCCCCTCACTCCCTCCCCTCTCTTACCGGTACTCTTCCTCACATATTGATTTTAAAAGTGGACATATCGTACCATAGCTTTTCGCGTCTTAGTTTTGAAATGCCTAGTATTATGTATTCAAAACTTAAATGCATCCACTTGACAGAGAGATTGTTTTATTAGATTAATTATCAGCGACAACGACACTACTATTAAGTGACACATGTTCTTTGTTAAACATTTCCTATAATTTTTGTCAAGGTAATTATTTATGCAGCTGCTAGAACTAGGGAATCTATTATAGGCCTACTATTATGAATCCAGTATCTTAAGTACCAGCCAGATGAAGCTGCCATTAACAGCCAGCGAAAGCTCGCATGTCTAATAAAATGACATCTTTAAGGTTGGAAAGGGGAAACTATAGGCCTAATAATAATACGCTTTCACCTAAAAAATATCGAGGTCTAGGTTCAATACTGATATAATTAATACGATACAATTCTACCTCCAATTCGAGACCACCCTTTGGATCTGAAAATTTGGGGTGATCTCGGGGGTTGGTTTAGCTTTGTGTTAAAAGGTTGAAGATTGTTATTTGAGTCTTTGGAAAACAACAGAAGCAAATACACAAGAAGATCAGTCGCTCATGGTTCGAATCCATCACTGATCTCCTTGTGTATTTGCTTCTGTTGACCCGTCCTTAGGATGAGAATTGAAGCCTTTGGTCTCGAGTGCAATATGGCTCATATGAACTTGGGTGTATACTGCTGAATTTTATAGATCATTTCAGAACTTGAGTTCCTGGTTCAAATCCATCGCGGGTCTATGAGCAATCAAACGTGTTAATCAAACGGACATGATATTAACATATAATCTTCAAGACAACAATTAGTTTGGTTTGTTTAGGGTTATACTTATACTTCGTATATTATTTTGAAATTAACATTAATTTTAAATATTTTCTTATTAATTTAATTTTAGTGGGATGTCATAACCCATGTCCCTTGTCATATTATCCGGTGTGTGGTTTTGATGACGTCACGTATAGCAACATGTGTATGTTTCATAACCAGAGGAGGTGTGTCAATCCGCATCTAGCTGTACGTCATAGAGGAGTATGTGGAGGTAACTACATTGTTTTACGTATATACGAACATTTTAATTCTTAACTTATTAAAGATTAAGTAATATTTCAGTGGAATAATACTATATATGCCTATGTATATTATTTGATTGTTGTGATGTACCCGTCAACTAATTGCAGTTTTCACCAACGAATTATAAGCTCGGGTCAATTTACCTTTCGACAAAATTTTAATTCCTTTTCGTTTTTGCTTCTTTCCTATTTTCAGAAAGCAGAGACTGTTATGACAACGAAGATGGCAAATGGTGGGAAATGAATTCCAGAAAAGAGAATTGGAGGACTTGCAAAGAATGGTAAATTTTTTGCGCACTGATATTTAATTTACAGCAGTTTCCTATAGGCTAAGCGTATAGTCGATACATATGATATTCTATTAAAGGCAAAAAAATATTGCATGATATCTGATTTCATAAAGTGGAAAACCAAGATAGGCAGGGCTAATTTCACCAAATACAGTTCAATTTCCGCTTCGAAACCACCCTTGGGACCTGAATTTAGTTCTTTGGAAAATGGGCTTCTAATTAGAGGGGCCTCGGAATTAGAGCGGTCTCGAATTGGAAGGTTCACTGTATAACTATTAACGATAACCTTAACCAGTCTTTTGTAAAGAAGACCTTTTTTTAATTTCCTATAATTATGGTTTATGTTTAGATAAATAACCATTCTGCATTTTTGGTTCGAGTTCTGAGTAACGTCGCTTCCTATTGTATTTCAGCACATGTGTCGGTAAAGTGTGGGCATGCTCACAATGTACCACAGGTTAGTAACAAAGTAAGGCCTATTATAGGCCTACATTCTAAAATATCTTCTGTGCACTCACCTCATGAAGACTTGCAATGGGCAATCATTCCCAATGCAATCAATCAATCAATCAATCAATCAATCAATCGATCAATCAATATATAGTTAATATATAATTACTAAAACTTCTGCGCACATACCTAAGGGTAGAAATGGGCCATTCCTCTTATAATCAATCGATCGATCAATCAATCAATCAAATAATAATTTATCGAGTGTTCAAACGATCTATCATTCAATCAATCAATATATCAAGTAATATATTTAAAAAAAAAACAGTTCAATATATCTATTGATTTTTATTATTAAATGTCTTGCGGTTTTTTAATATTTCTAACACCAAAGAATCATGTAAGTCAAATTGGAAACAAAAGTTCTAAAAAAAAAAACATAGGTGAAATAAGTAGGTTTAAGTGTTTCGTGTCATGTTTTTGAAGTTGCTCATACTCGTATTACCCTGTTTCACATACTGTAGTCCAAATGTTATCTGGGGGAAAAGTTTTTGAAGTCTTGAACATGTCTCATATAGACACTTAAAAAATACAAATTCAGTTAAGTTTTGCGGAGGCATTATAGGTTGATAACTGACCTGTTTTGGTGGAAAATCATTATGGGAAACGTGTTTGCACGTCATATGATTGGCAAGGGAAACAAATGTAAACTAATTCAATAAATTGTGAACAAGCAATGTGGGCGTTTGATATTATATTTATGAATAAGACGATAAATAAGAATAATTTCATATCATCAGATTTAAAAGTATATTTTGTTTTGTTTATTTATTTGGATTTTATATATTTGCTTTCAAATATATAAAATATATTTATATATTATATATTTATATATTTATATATTTTATATAGGCCTATTTGCTTTCTGGAGTTTGTCTCTTTTCTTCACCATTTCAGCATTTGTTTTATTACTGTGGCTATAGAAAGAGAAGAGAAAAAAATGTGTTTAATTGACTTTAATTGTATTTATGAGGCAAAAAAATGAAATTAGACATCACCCCGGACATCACTAGTAGAAACTTATTTGTAAAAATGTATAAAATTGAATTAAAAGATAAAAGATTTAGGCCTACAAAAAAAAAACTTAGCAACATGAAAAAAGACATGACAGGATACAACAGTCATTCACTGTACCAGAAATCAGCGAACCTGGATCGAGTCAGAACCATGACAATAACCCTAGGGGAACAACATGACTTGGGCCTATGTATAGTAGGCACGCATTTTAATTTAAATTTAACTGTACTTTCTTTTCTGTCCCCTATCGATGTTACTTTTATTAGCGATTTGAAAAAGGTAAAATTATTATTGTGGACTGGGATCGCACTGGAAGGTAATTCCACTTATGCTTGTGATGATAAAAAAATATATACGTGACAGAAACATAAGTGTGGTAAAAAAAAAAATCGAGTTAATGGGAGTTCAAAAACAAAAACAGTGGTGGCGCTATGACTTCAGATTACAACAGGAATCCGATTGCTATTACTATCAAAGAGTACAACTGCAAAGTATCCGACTGCCCCAATTTTGTATGCACGCAATGGAACTTCAAAAAGGTACTGCTACGATATGGAGGCGCCCTATTAGAATTCGAATAGATTTCGCTCGAAAATTGTCTTTTAAGGAAATGCCCCTTTGTGGCAGAGCGTTTTCAAATAGAATAACGTTCCATGAAACCCCGAGAGTCGGACCACTTGCAATTCTATTACGACATTGGATGTTTTGAACTAAGTTTATAATTTCAAGTTTTCCGCTATCCCTCCGCTCAAAGCCGGTGAGGTCATTCACATTGAAAATAGAAATGATGCGAGTGCCCCACAGATGACCCCCATTTACCCAGTGACCATATGTGAAATAAAGATGAAACTGTTTGAATTGAAGATTCGTAAATAATATAATTTTTATTCTTGGCAATGATCAAGAAGTTAATCTGCGGATGCAGGAGGTCTAATTAAACCAGGATTTCCATGGTCTTTGCAACTTGATCAATAAGAAGAATAATAAAGATAAGACATTTTTTAATTTGGAAACAGAAACATGGTTTTTATTTTGATTTGGTCTATATATATATATATATATATATATTTTTTTTTTTAAATATGCATATTTTCCATTGTAGGTAAAACGTATTGTCCTGAACGCTCATGCCCATGGCCTTGTTACTATGGTTACCGTGTAGAAACTAATGGATGCCAAAGTTGTGACTGTATGCCCCGTAAATACTGGTACCTCGCCGTGAAGGGGAACAACCACTATAATTGGCGACAAGCATACTGGTACAGACGCCGTCAGGGCAGGCAGGGATAGAGATGAGCCACGACAGCCTGGCAGATTACGGCCTAGAAAGATGTTTTTTATGATTTATATTTTATTCTATTTTGGTTTATGTCTTGGTCATATTATTATGGAATAAATATTATTAAATACTTTCAGTACACTATGTTGTAATTTCTTTTAAAATACGTAAATTAAAAAAAAAAACTATTCCTAATAAATGGATAGGGCTGGGGTCGTTAACTGTACATTGATTGATGAAGAAAATACAAATGTACAAGAGATACAAAAAATTATTATTACTATTATTACTAATATTACTAATATTACTATTATTGCTATTATTACTACTATTATTCCCATTATTATTGTTGTTGTTTTTATTATTATTATTATTGTATTATTATTATTATTATTGTATTATTATTATTGTATTATTATTATTATATTATTAATTATTATTATTATTATTATTATCATTATTATTATCATTATTATTATTATCATTATTATTATTATTATTATTATTAACATTATTATTAGTGGTATCATATTTAGATCTGCAGCAAAGCCCTAATTACTGAGACAGCCTGGGGCACACATGATAGCGGTTTTGTTAGAACTAGAGTTTCCCAGTATTAAGAAAAATTAATATTTTGCTCTGTGGCATAAAAGGACGGTTTATATTATTGTTATTTCTATTATAATTATCGTTATTACTGAAAGCAATCTTAATAAGGAATCGAAGGCTAAGTATATAATAAAGTTGTCATTTTAAACAAGAAATGCAATTAAACTGATTTATTATGATGATATTCTTGGAAAATCAATAAAGGAGAATAAGAAAAAAAATGTATTTCTAAATATTATTCATGTTTGCTCGTTAAAGAACAGATAGATATCACAAGTGAGACAAGTTAGTCTTTTAAAAAACGTTACAGACTATAAAGGAAATAGGATGGAAAATTGAGAGGAAAATCATCATGATGATGAATGACACAAAGAATGGAATGAGCTATTGCAGGCTGACTGTGAGATTGTGTGGAGAATTCCACAGCGCAGAAACGTATGCATTGACATTATATTATCATATAGGCCTATTATATTAAAATCATTATTGCCGTTATTACTAAACAAAATCATGATAAGAATTATTGGAATCGAGGACTTAATTATCATCATCATTATCATCATTATTATCATTATTATTAGTCCCATTAGTCTGCAGTGTTTGACGTCATAAATATAACTGTTTCGCTTTGCTCAAACAATCTTTCAGTTCCCACATCTCGTACAGAAACCGCACTTGAAGCTTTCGTTATTTTCTGCCTCTTCCTCTCCATGGAACGAACTTCCTCTTTAAATAAAAAAATTACCTTCACAACAATAATACTTTTTCTCATTTTTTTCCTTATGTATGGACCTCTCACTTTCTCTTCATGAAGAACCCTCATCAAACAATTATAATAATATATGATCAGGATGCCGGTGTGACAAAATAAATCCAATTAAGCATATAACATCTGCCTTACTAACAATGTTTATTTCCATCAACATCACAATTACCACAATTGAATATATATATATATCAAATGATAACAACAGTTAATTTATCGCAAGAAATTATTTCAGCATATGTCATTGCAATTGTAATACTTTCAAAACTATAATTATTTGTGTCTTTATTTTATGTTGTAACTTTTATTGATCAATAGTATGTTCTGATTGGACGTCCGCAATGTGAAGAGTGATGTCTGATTGTTATGCAATACAGTGATACAATACAGGATACATTGAACTGATGTTAAATAATGGAGGTTAATGTAATGTCCATTCCTCTCTCATTTAGGAAGGAAAACTACTTTTTTAACCTAGCTAATACTTACTCTACAACTTAAACAAAGACCTATCTATCAAGCTAATCTAACTTAACTACAACCTATCTAGGCCAACCTGAGTTAGACATGAGAGAGGGTGGACTAGGTTAGGGTGAAATGAAATGATATGAAAGCGATTTACAACACAAACAACAACACAAGTACGATAACAAATATACAAAATGAACAAAGAAACACTTGTATGAATATTGTACAGATGAATATTGTATTCGTATGATTGTCTATCATATATTATTTTAATGCAGGCTATTATTTTGTTAATGTTTTTTTATTATTAATATTATAAAAAATATTATTACATATTAGCCCATTTTAATATTTATAGTTTAAAACCAACTGCATGACAAGTAGGCTTAACCATTTATCTAATTGTACGTTCATGTTCTTTAACACCAATGCCGTAGCCAGCAATCGGGACAGTTGGGACAGTCCCACACAATTTGTCTAATGGGTCCACAAAGACTGGGTCAAAATTATGCAATTTTATGCATAATATGAGTCCAATTTTTGAAAAATCTGTCCAGATTTCTTATATTTAGCCTAAAATGGGCAAACTTTAAGAAAATGGGTCCAGATTTTTCATATTTTTGTGTTAAAATGTTTTTTGCGTGAAATTTTAAGAAAATGGGTTCACATTATTTGAATTTACGCGTAAAGTGGGTCCACCCGAAAAATTCTGACTAAGGCATTGCTTAACACTTTCAAAAATACATGGCATCTCTAAATTAAATCGACCAGATTGGCTTATTCCTTCGGAAATGATATTATTCTGCTGATAAACAAAACAAAATTCGCTTTCTATGTCATACTGATATTAGGTTGGTCACAGTTCCAAATTCCTGCGAAAATAAAAAAAAATACATTCATCGTTATTTGCAGGGGTGGCGTCAGAATGTTCCCGACGGGGGGAGGGGGAGGGGGGCGATGTGATTTGTGCACATTAGGATGAAACCCGTGTGGATCTAATAACCTAATTTGTTGGTAGTATAATTTCAAGAAATCAACATTGAAACCCACCTTTAGTATAATCAACTTTTAATCCACCAGTAGATTCCTCTAAGTCGATGGTACACAGTTTCAGTAGGTTGAAGTCGGCGGCAGTTCACAAGTATTCAAGGCCTTGCATATCAACCACTTCTGTCGGGCTGTGTTTACAAATAGACCTATGCGTAATCTCATATGAAAACAATTGACATTTGCAAAAACCCCATCCTCAAGACAGACAACAAATCCTAGTTAATTTTAAAATCATGACATGGCCCCTGGACCCCCTACCCCAGAATTGGTAATATTATGTTTCAATAAACTCGGAATTTGGTCTTCACTCGCCACTCTTTAAATCGTTGACCAATACAATTAGTCTATCCAACCAAAGGTTCATTTCACATCATTTCACAAGCCCAGGCATTCAAACTTACCTTTGCAAGTTGGTCTACCATTTCATCGTCACCGTGACGTTAACATTTTATCGCCATCATATACAAGATTATATTCGTTATAATTATCATCGTCCTCACTTTAAGTTGATATTCACCGTCAAAAGGAACACGTTGATATGATTTAATCAGAAAATCGGTAATTCCTTATTATTTCTTTTCTGAAATGAAAACAAATTTTATGTTATAAAAATGTATAGATGTCTAAGCCTGTGCATAGCCCAATAGCCCTCTGGTCATTTTACAACACCAAGCCGCTTTGAAAAACAAGGTCAACTTTCATGCATTCACATCATCTTAAAAATTATATTTGCAAGTTTAGTTAGGGCCTACACCATTTCATTATCGTTAATAGTCACTAAAAAGTCAACGCTGCCGTTTTAATCATCACCATTATCGTCATTTTTTTTATTAGGTTGTACTAATGGCAAAGTCTCTTAATCAGCTCAAATCCCAAATCACTAAAGCTCTCAGGAACCACCCAAACTTTCCAGTCCATATTTGGATCCATGATAGGAAGATAAGCAGAGTAAAGATTCAAGAGTCAATTACAAGTTATCAAGTAGGGCCTACTGTAAAATTAGAATCGTCGTTACTGTTTTAACGTCAACTCTATCGCCATCCTTATCAGCAACAACATCCTCGTTATCATCATGAATTATATCATCGTATTCGTTCAATGTTCATTTCATCATCATCATCATCATCACAATCATCATTATCATCGTCACTGTTCATTTTCTTTTCAATTCAAGTCAATAAAATATCCATCGGCAGAAGAACCACCAGCCAATCATAGAATATTTCCACAAGCATCATTATCGAAATCACCAGGTTTTCTTTTCTGAAATAAAGTAACATTAAATGTTATAAAATTTAAGGGGCATAATAAGGAGTAGCCAAACACAAGGAAATGCTACACTTATTTATTTCTCACACAGGCATACGTGACAATTCATAAAAGTTCAAGATACCCAGGGGGAAAATGTCATAAGAATGATAAAGAAAACAATGGTAATACAAAAGCTATGATAATGGTAAAAATTAGAAAAAAATTAGAATTTTGAAAAAAGTTACAATCTAACAATGAACTGTGAGCAAACTATTAAGGTTTGCGGAAAAGTACAAGTGATTTGCCACTGCAGATTGAGCTTTTGACAAAATTAATATTTCTAAAATGAAAAGATGGATATAATAAACAAATTGCTTGGAACTATAGACCTACAAATAAGAATCTAAGTAATTCGCAAAATTATCACAGCAACATCACTACCTTTTTTTTATTCGCATTACAAGAGCATTCTTCATTACCGGTACACAATAGGTTGCAGAAACTCACCTTGATATAAGCCGTCCATTATCATACGGTCATTATTAATCATCGACGTGCACATATTTTCTTGTTTTTAAGTCGATCACACCAAATTCCAGTCAGGTCGGGGACTGTCTACAAGCATTTACTGATTTGCGTATCGACCACTACGTAAATAATGAATATGTAATTAAGAAGTATGAGCTCACGTTAACATGAATCATAATGTTGTTTTATACTAAATAAATTCAATTTAATTCAATATGTGAAACACAATTAGCAAAAAGGATACTCGGCCCGCCTCTCCCACCCTCTCGACAGCTAAAAATTGTAATCAAGTTTCCAGATTGCAATAATAGATTGATATGGGCCCTGGACTCACAGAATTGGTATGGGAACATTCTCCTATGACCTCGGACACCCCGTCGGCCAAATCCTGGCGCCATCCCTGCAACTAAATGGCAGACAACAGCAAGCAAGCTAACCATCCATGCATACTGTAGGTTTATTTCACAAGCCCCATGCATTAAAATTTACCTTTGCAAGTACAGGTCTACCATTTCATCATCATCATCACCATCCGTACCATCCCTATCGCCATCATCCTCGTTATTCGCATCATCGTTATAGTTGTCATCGTCCTTTCCAGTCCATATTTGGCTCTATGATTGAAAGATAAGCATAGTAAAGATTCAAGAGTCTATTACAAGTAATCAAGTATTGTAGGGCCTACTGTAAAATTAGAATCGTCGTTACTGTTTCAACGTCAGCTCTATCGCCATCCTTATCAGCAACAACATCCTAGTTATCATCTTGAATTATATCATCGTATTCGTTCAATGTTCATTTCATGTCGATATGAACAAGTATACATCATCATCATCACTGTTCATTTTGTTTTCAATTCAAGTCAATAAATTATCCATCGGCAGAAGAACCACCAGCCAATCACAGCATATTTCCACAAGAATCATTATCGAAATCCAGGGTTTTTTTCTGAAATAAAGTAACATTAAATACTTATTTATTTCTCACACAGGCATAGGTGACAATTCATAAAGTACAAGATAGCCAGAAAAAAAAATCATGAGAATGATAAAGAAAACAATGGTAATACAAAAACTATAATGGCAAAAAATTAATTAAATTAAATTAAAATAATAAAAAATAGAATTTTGATAAAAGTTACAATGTAACAATAAACTGTGTGAAAACTATTAAGGTTTGCGGAAAAGTACAAGTACTCACCTTAAAATCAGCCGTCCATCACCATACGATCATTATTAATCATCGACGTCCACATATTTCCTTGTTTTTAAGTCGATCACACTCTAAATTCAAGTCAGGTCGGGGAGTGTCCACAAGCATTTACTGCTTTGCATATCAACCACTACGTAAATAATGAATATGTATTTAAGAAAAAAAAATATGAGCTCACTTTAACATGAATCATGGTGTTGTTTTATACAATTCAATTTAATATGTGCATTCAAACTTACCTTTGCAAGCACAGGTCTACCATTTCATCATCACCATCAGTATCATCTCTATCGTCATCATCCTCGTTATCCGCATCATCCTCATGAGCACTTTATGTCGATAATTCTCCATTAGAAGAAGAAGCAGAGAAGAAGCCCGAGTCCACCTAGCAAATTGATTTGATTTATTCTGAAATTCACACGCATTATAAAAAATATCTATTTTTTCTATTTATTTATTTTTTTTATTTATTTTTAATATGGCCATTATAGTCCTATCTTCACTTCACGTCATTTCACAACCTCACCAAGTGGCCTTGCAAACTTTCAGACGTTCAAACATTATCTTACAACTTACCTTTGCAAGTTTGGATACACCATTTCATTATCGTTAATCGTCATCGCTGTCGTCACTCATCACCATCATTTGTCATTTTATAGTATGTTGTAATAGCAAAGTCAGTCAAAATCAAAGTCAGTTAAAAAGCTCAAATACACTACACAAAAATTTAAAATCTTCATTAAACGTCACTATTATAGTCATCGCTACCGTCATCATCACAATCACCATCATCATCATTTTTCTTTCATTCCACGTCGATAGGTAGAAGTACCGCCAGCCAATCAGTAGGTTAGCATATTTCCTCAAGTATCATTATCAAAATCACCAGATTGTTTTCTTCTGAAATGAAATAAACTAACGAAAGTTCATAAAATACTATTGAACGAATAATATTTATTTATTCCGCACACATTGCATGGTGACAAAGACCTGTGATGCACAAGGTATTTGTCGCCTTGCTACTGTCTGTGAACAACAAAATGTATTAAATTTCTGAAATAAAAGACATACTATTAGTTATTATAAACCTTGGATTTACATACACTGAAATTTAACAATAGTAAATGAATTTCATTTACTATTGTTTTACATTTACAAAATTACAATTCATAACAAATTCAGACAAAAACACGTCTTAGGATGTTAAATAAACGAGACATAAACGCATGTTCTGATGTACCAATTTATTGAAACAAATTCATAGGGATACAATGTTTGGTATAGGACTAGGGGCTGACCATAAATGTGATAAAAAAAAAAAGACACAGATACCAATGTAAAGAAGGAGTCAAGACACAGTTGTTTGTACAAATGTACCAGTACAGATTTATTGTAACAATTTCATAGGTATACAATTGAAGACGCATTGAGGCAGCACCTGCTATCATTATCAAAATACTGACCTAACCCACTATCGAAACGAATAAAAAAATAAATAAATAAAAAATACTATGATTTAAATAAAGTGGTTTACAAGATGGGCATTGGGTACAATATTAGTATGATTGTTTCTTCTACACAAACAATCCTGTGGTTAGTTGACTTACTTGGTTTGATGCTTGGATGCTCGAAGCGATGTCTTGCTGTGTTAGTAACTTACCTGTGGTCCAGTTACATTTGCATATAATCAACATAATTAAACAACAACTGTCTTATTCTATATCGGTCTAAGTGTTAGTTCAATTTGCATAATACATACATTCATAAATAGTCTAATTGATGCTGTTTATATGATAAATTGATGTTGTCAAAATTTTGCAGAATATATGATCTACATGCAGTGTTGTCAGATTATCAGCATCTAGTAACAGCTAGTGGCCTATAATGGTAATTAGAAGGCCTATATTGGAAGTTTATCCATGGAACCCATGGTTCATCTATATTATCATCGCAATTCTGTATGATACGATAATCATTAAACCTTGTTTGCAATTATAAAATCTAGCTAAATATGCTATACAGTATTAACATTGAATAATATCAACAAGATCAGCCGTAATTATTATTAGCTTCGTTGCCCTGAAAAAGAAAAGCCTAATGTCTAAACCTGTGTGTTAGTAGAAATGGAAGAAACACATTTTAACCAAAAAGGTATTATATAGAGTTCTATATCTGGGACGGATCCAGCGGGGGGGGGGGGGGGGCATGAGACCCGTTCCCGCCCCTCCCCCATCAGTCAAGCCAAAAAATAAAAAATAGGGAGAAAAATTTGAGTTAGAGAGAGGAAAGATGAAAAAAGACAGTGCACCCATGAGTTCAGTGGTGATCAGCAGTGGGCGAAGGAAAGCTAGATTATTTACCACTTATTTTCACCAACCATGGTGGGGCCGAGGTGGGAGTGGCGTGGACTTCTTATTGTGTCCCCACTCCCCACCCCTTCAGAAAATCTCTGGATCCGCCCTGTGTATATTAGCTTTTTGGTTTCAGCACATGTTAGTTCTTACTATGATTGATGCTTGGATGCTCGAAGACGCGATGGCGTTCATCAAATCAGCACGTCAAGGAGGATAAAAAGGCACAAACGCCGAAAGACTCCAGTTGGCAAAATTTTATATAAAATTTCAATAGTTTCGTATTTGTATGTGAATATTTCAAATTTGACTATTGGCGTCTACGAAATTTACGCGATTCCTAACGTAATAAAAATAATAATAATTATAAATAATAAAGATTTTAAAAAAATTAAAACTAACATTACGACAGTATTAATAAAATATTTTTAATAAAATAAAAATAATAAAATAACACCTACGAAATAATTATATTCTATCGATGTGCTGATTAAGTGCATGTTAAGAAAATAAGGTAGATGTATATGTTGTTGTATTTAAATAAATGAAATGAAAATGAAATGAAAATGAAATGCAATGAAATAAGACAGGGGATGATTAGATAGATGCCAAAAGTCAAATAACGTTTTTAAATCAATTCCAAAAAAAAGCATATAACAATTCTTTGGAGTGTTGGCGCATAAATTGCCTGACTGGCGCTAAAATTTGTTTTGTATCCATGGACGTCAGTATGACATCCACTTGTAAGACCTGCAATACAACACGAGCAATATTATTAGAGCACTAGTTGCATATAAGTAACTTCGAAAAAAATGATACATGGGTGGAGCAGTGTGGTAGTGAAGTAATGTAAGCATACTTATCGACAATATATAGGCTATACAGTTACTGTACTTCGATACCTATTTGAATCACAATGATAACGTCGAAACTCATACGTACTAAATCATGGTAGGCCAAGAACCAAAGATAGTAAGCTATTCATGTTCTTTGGTAGAACTCCAATGTTTCTCGTTTCAGAAATTGCTATGGTATAGGTAGGCGGGCCTTAGAAAATCAAATCGTTAAGCGCCGTGTCGCAGCCGTTAAGCTAGTCCTCAGATACAGTAGGCTAACAACTTCGCAATTGAAGACAATTTATTATAAAGACAATTCTCAACCCGTCCTCTAACCTTCGTCAGAGTAACTTCTAATAGTAGGCTTACATTATTATATTTATAACCATTAGCCTAGGCCCTACAGGCCTATTAAATGTTTACTCTGGTACTCACCCGCTGTGTCTCTCTTTGTTTACACCCTCCTCCGCTGGTCACACTATAGGAGAATAATGAAACAGACCAAGAAACAGTCTTTTTAACCGGTATATTCAAAATTGGAAGCTTAACTATGATTGGATGCTATTGTATGCATGGTTGGATTAAAACAATAATATCCAATCAACATTAGGAAATTTGTTTGAAAATGTAGGCCTAACTGTCAAAACAACAATAGCCACTGCCTAAAGTGTTTTGGTCATTACCTTGTAAATTCTTTCTTGCCGATACGTCAAACTGATTGATTCCTTTGTTAGTGTATATGCGAACATAATTTTATTATGTAAATGTTGAGTATATTAAGCCATGTATTTTTTATCAATGTAAAGACGGAATATGTGAAATAAATATGATAGGCAATGTAAACAACAACGTCAGATCCGGATTTGCCTGCCACAGGGGCATCTATGATTTTGGAGGTGGGAATTCTACCAGAGCTTCAGATATTTTTTGTCTGTAATTTGAAATTTTGTATTATAAAGATTTTTTTGATACAGTGCTTTTGTATTTATGAGAAATGAATAATAAATATATTAATTTGCTGATCCAAAGAAAGTTATTGTGATTAGTGATTAACATATTCTTGGATACCTCCATTGGAGTAAATAACGTTGAACGTTCTGACTTCACACATTCGGAAATGTCACACTTTCAAAATTCACTGCACACTTTTAAAACCATGGCACACTTTCAAAATTCAACTTTTTGAATGTCACATCAAACTTTCAAAATCACTTCCACATTTGAAAGTAAATTTAAAATCCTAAAACTTTTGGTGGCAGCTACCCAGCCCCATTGTAGTCTAATCCTTGTTTATATAAATCTAGGCCATATGCAGAGTCTATTGTTAAATCCTGACTTAGGCCCCTTCTCCGGGCCTGGCTAACTTTACTGAATATTAATTATTATTAACAATTAACTTTTATACAATTATATTACAATATACAGTCATGGGAAAGTTAATATATGTAATTGAATTAGTAATTTTCCGTGACCCTTTCTCATTTTCTGATAATAAAGGCCATAGCCATGGCAATTTTGTTTAAAAGCAGTGAAACAATAAAACCAATGAATCTAAACTTCAGCAATCATGTTGTAAAAATTGTAATTAGGCCCATCGTCTCTCTATAAGATAAATTGTTTATCCGATTAAAATTGGAAAATTCGTATTGTAGCTAGTAGTAATAAGTCTGTCTCTTATACACATCTAGATCGTTTATTGTCTATTGTCATGGCTTCAGAAACAAAAGAATTTGTGACTATTGGATCTACTAGTGTTTGTCAATGAAGTCACTGCAGGCCCATAGAAAGCATTTGGTCAGATATGGCATAATTTAGACCCCTTTAGCATCTAACATATTTGTTAGGCCTATGCGTAATTTTGGCAAATTTAGCATATCCTAAGAAGAAAAATATCTCTAACTGGTCTCAAAAAAAAAAATTTAAAAAAAAAATGGTCAAAATTGAAACCCAACAAAATTAGATACTAGATTAATTAAAATTATTTCATCCAAAAATCCTTGCTCTTTTGAAAATCTAATATTAGGCCTGTATACACTCATCACATTTTCCAGAGGCAGGAAAGGGCATTTCCGAGCATCTGTAGGACCTAAAATGAAAACTTTCCAGTGGAGGGCCAATGATCCCCTCCAAAGTACTCTACCACATCATCAGTTTTTTTCCCAAGCCTCTGTCCTGCACCACCTCGACTACAGAACCTTTTGGTCCTCTGACAAGTATATGCAAATTCCCCCCCCCCCCGGTCGGGGAGAAAAAACACAATTAGTCGGGGAGAAAAAAAAATATATGTATTTTCTACATATTATTAAACTCTCTAAAATCGATTAAATAAGCCTTTGAAACCCCTAAATTGATAACATTTTCGGGGGCTTTTCCCCTGGACAACTTTCGAAAACTTTGCTTTCGTCGGGGAAATCTGACCCCCTTGTCGGGGCATCGGCCCCCGTCGGGGACCTTTTTTTTTTACTATGATGGTGATGTGATGATGAGGAATTTTACTATATAAGAGTGTCATTTCCTTCTTTAAGTTTCTTTAAATTTTCCAATAGCCCCCTCCCCTCTACCTTTAAAAAATGATCTTTGCCCGTATTTTGATATCATTAGTCCTTTCATCACTCAACTATTCCACCGCCTATTATGTCATCATCATCAATCACCATCCCCATGGCATAAACTCTTGAGGGGACACCTTCGGGACCATTTTAATTGATCTATAAATTTAACTAAATTGTATAAATAATTCGCAATGAATATACCATACATTTATGATGGAGTATAGGCCTAATAAATGACGTAATTAAACAATAAAATTGTACTGTATATTGTTTCAGATTTCCAGTGCTATGACGGATATAGAATAATGATTTGAACATTAAAGTAAAGATTTCAATGGCGAATTCAAGGGGTGGGGGATGTAGGAGCTCCGGCCCGGGCCCTTAACTAAATTTTTAGAAATTGTAAAAACAAAATGAAGGAAAAACACTGCCACTGCCATAATCATAGGCCTATATTTTCTTCAGCTCCGCCATAGTTGGGGCTGAGGTGGTAGATCGTCCATTTGTGAAAGTCCCGCCCCTTCCCCACCCCTCCCGACCTCCATGGATTGCTAGGAGCCTTGAAATGTGAAAGGGGGGAGGGTGCAAAATAAAGTGATTTGAGGTGAACTATTTGACCGAGAGGAAGGGGCCAAGTATTTTTGGAGGCCTTCCCCCCCCCCCCCCCCCCCGGAACTTTCCAAGATATGCCAATGCAGACCTCCCGTCAATCCTTGCGGCATCACTGCCAGAATGGTATTGAGAATAGTGTAGCTTTCAATTTGTGCGGGGTGGCGCTTATTATAATTTCCAATTAGTCCTTAGTATAATTTGATTCGCATCGCTTGTCACACTGACATATACACCGTGTGACCAATGTGACGTTAGTAACTAAGACCCTGTACTTCATTACTTAATAACTTTATACAATATACCGGTACATTACAATACAGACATGGGGAAGTTGAATTCAATAATTTGTTAACTTTCCGTCACCCTTCTCTTTTTCCTGGAATATAGGCCGACTAGCCATGGCAATTTTGTTTAAAAGCAGTGAAACAATAAAACCAATGAATCTAAACTTCAGCAATCATGTTGTAAAAATTGTAATTAGGCCCATCGTCTCTCTATAAGATAAATTGTTTATCCGATTAAAATTGGAAAATTCGTATTGTAGCTAGTAGTAATAAGTAGTTAGACCATTGATTGTTTTCGTTTCTTTCTTTGAACGGCCTATCCTACCTCTAAAATAAGACCAGCTAGGCCCTATAAATATGTATTTTTTTACTTTGTGCAGACCTCAAATTGATAATATTCCAGAGATCCTAATTTTGGGGGGAATAAACACACAGGGACAATTTATTATGTTTACTTCCATTGGTTGTACAGTATGTATGTCGAGGAAATTAGGAACGAAAACGTAGTGCAGCTGAGATTATGCAAGACGTCACCATAAGAAGCCACGCCCCTCGACTGAATTGGTTGTATTTAGCAACTATAGGACTACCACGTGTAATACAATGTAGCTGACGGTTACTGTATTTGAATCCGTTAAACCATAGAGCAAAGAAACTTTATTTGCTTTATGGTTCATGAATGGTTATGGCGCATTGACAGCAAGAGGTCAGAGGTTCGAATTCCGTTGGAGCCCTTTTTATTATAAAATTAATTTACAGGACAACATTCGTTGAGAGCTACTGTATGGGCCATGCTACACGATGTACCATCATGAACTTCATTCAAAAACTATAGTATAACTTTCTTTGATTATTTAGGCCTCTATACAAATTTGACGGTGTTAAGTACGGCTATCTTGATTATTATATGTTACTAAATTTCATTTCCAACTGTACTTAACGCCCTCTTGGGCTCCATCATTGTGTGTAGCTAGCTGACGCGTCTATTTGAACTGTTCAATCGAAGCCTCTGTGGTCTATGGTTATGACGCTCGTGACAGCGAGGTCGCAGGTTCGAATCCCGTCTGAGGAATTTTGGAACCCAGTCTACAAATTTAGGCCCGTACGATCACTAGTCATTCCCCCTTCAGCCGCATGCAACAGCTGCAACCTTCGTACTTCAAAATTTACTCCATTATGTGTGAGACCTCAAGTTACTACTGAACTTGACTATAAATGCACAGACAATGAATGAGATTATTTGATTTTAACGATAATATTAGTGCAATAAAAGGGTCTTTAGAAAACGAAAACCAAACAAATCAAGAAACTATTTCGTTAAATGAATCCATGGTGCGGCAGGTGTTCTCGGGTGTTAAAGTGAACAAAGCCACAGGTCCTGACGGTATTAGTAATAAGTTATTAAAATGTTGCAGTCACCAACTTTCCCATGTTTTTACAAAATTATTCCAACGCACTTTTGATACCGGAGTTATTCCAGCTATTTGGAAGACTTCAAAAATAACACCTTTGCCTAAAACTAAACAGATTACATCTTTAAATGACTACCGTCCTGTAGCTTTGACACCAAATCCAATGAAATGTTTAGAAAAAATAATTACTAAAATGATTATGTCAAATAATAATGACCCTAATCAGTTTGCCTACAGACAAAATAGAAGTGTAGATGATGCTGTGATAATGTATACCGACAGCGTATATAGACACCTTGATGTACCCAGATCTTTCATTAGATAGATGTGTATAAGAGACAGATACAAATTTGACGGTGTTAAGTACGGCTATCTTGATTATTATATGTTACTAAATTTCATTTCCAACTGTACTTAACGCCCTCTCGGGCTCCATCATTGTGTGTAGCTAGCTGACGCGTCTATTTGAACTGTTCAATCGAAGCCTCTGTGGTCTATGGTTATGACGCTCGTGACAGCGAGGTCGCAGGTTCGAATCCCGTCTGAGGAATTTTATTACACAATGTACAGTATTTACAGAACAACATTCGTTGAGAGATATGCTACACGATGTACCATC